GCCACTCTGCTCCCTTCAGCATAAAAATAATAAATCTTAGATTTCCATGTGACCCCCAAAGTTCATGTGTTGGATACTTGATCCCTCTCCACTACAGTAGTTGTGGGTGCCTTCCAGGAGATAACTGAGTCATGGTGCACTGTTCTTATCAATGTATTAAGTTATCATGGAGGTAGGTTTGTGTGTGTGTGTGTGTGTGTGTGTGTGTGTGTGTATGTGTGTGTGTAAATGGGTTTCTTAAAAAGGGATGAGAGGCCTATCTGCTCCTGCTCTCTCAAACCATCTCATTGTCTTTCCTCATTCATTAGATGACTCAGCAAAGGAACTCGGTTGCCAGTAACTCCATCTTAGATTTTCTAACTCGGCTTTCACAACTGTCGGGAGATTCATTGTGTTTTTCATGTATTACTATTTTAGTATTTTGTTACAGCAGTATTAATGGAGAAAGACAACAGTGGTACTTTCATCAACATGCAGTGTGTGAATTAAGTGAGGTAGTACACAAGAGCTTAGAGTCATCGCTTGCTCACAACAATCAGTTCAGACATGTTAGCTAGTAGGAACACAGACATTTGCCCTCTGTGGCTCTTAGGTTAGGGATAAGTTATCACACTTCTTTTAAAGACGCTCAAGTCAGATTGCTTTCCCTTGTAAAGAGTCTTGTTTAACATAATTAACAAAAAGCACAAAGACTTAGCATGTACAGGATTATGACAGACTCAGTCTCTCTGAGCTGAGGAAGAGAGGAGGGATTGAATCAGCTAATTCTGGACCATCAGGGCTTCCTTCCTTGAGTTCTATCAATCATGTTATCTGTGGTCTACATACCCATCCCCCATTCCTAGTCAGGAAAAGGTCTCCTTATTGTTATCCTACTTACTCTGTAAAATCCTTCTTCTGTGTAGCCAATTAATAATATCACCACTATGTAGAATTATTTTTAGATATCCATTACAATACAAAAATATGAAGAATCAAACACAGGGCAGAGATAAAAATGAGAGAAAATATTTCTGTAATGAAAATATATGCTCACTTCATTTTATTTAACCCTTGCACTGGAAACTTTTTCCATAGTGGTTTAGAGTAAATACTATTATTTCTAAGCAGCCCACATGCTAAATAGCATACTTTTCTTGGTGTAGATTTCTGGAGGGATATGCAGGAGATTTGCATGCTTAATTCCCATTAGCACCTGTCACTGGGATTTATTATCCCACAGTTAATTCTCCACTTACCCGAGCCAGCCAAGAAATAGGAAGCCCTTGTATATGGATTGAAGCGATGCTTTTTATTTATTTATTTTTTTATTTTTCAAAAATGAGCTGCATTTCATGTTGGTTCCTCAAACACCTGCGCTATTCCAAACATGAAAGGTCACATTCAGATACACTTTGGGTTCAAATCTATTCACACTTAATTTTTATTCAATGGTTAGAAAAGCCTCCATATTGTCTAAAATTGCACAGGGTGCTATACAGGACTTGGCTCAGTTTTCAAATCCACTGACTCATATTCCTCTATTCAATATCCAAGAAATATTTATCGACCCTGTGCTAGGCTGTGCTCTATATTCTGGGCAGAGTGCTGAATGTAATAGGGAAAATGCACCTTGGGGTGGATACATTCTATTGGCACGTGTTTATACTTGCACATATTTGTGCATGCACATACACATAAAGGTGTATAAAATAAGCATTCAAATACATGGGCAGATATGTAAAATAAGCACTAGTTGGAAAATTCAAGCAGGTGAATGGAAAAAAAAGGGTGATAACTTTTTCCTGTTTGCCAGAAATGAGTCAGAATCCTCTCTAGGCAGAGATATTTTTGCCCAGATCTCAGAGATTTAGCAAGCCTGCACTCAGCAGCCTCTGAAACACTGCATTATTGTTTTCCTGGAGACGAAATTGTGACAGTCAGTGACACCAGGCAGAGTGCTGATACAAAGGCAGTGTGTAGCCTGCCTGCACACTGGAGCTGCCCTGCTTGCAGGTGCTAGCTGGGCCCCAGCCCCTGGACTCCCACTCTCCTGTTTCCCCCTGCATCTCCACACATCATTTCTCAAACCATGCTCCTGCCCTCTTTAGGCTGAATTTCAGTATTGAACTACTTTCTTTTGCCTTATCGCTTACTGATGCTTTTAAGGAATTAATTTCATGCAGTATCGACTGCCGAGTGCTTCAAAGACCCAAACAGGAGGATGTGATCATTTTAACCTTCCGCACCGTCCTAGACTTTGAAGATTCTTTCCAGGTGAATCTTTTTGTCAACCAGACAACCAGTCCTGACTGAATACCAAGTATGGGTTAAGTTCTGTGTTAGCAGTGTGGGATGGAAAAATCTCTGCTCTAATTGAGTTAAATTCTAGTCAGGAAAGACAGGCAAAATAAGGATATGAAGAATAAATGAATAACTCTACAACTTTTTTATTGTTGTTTGAGACAGGTTCTCTCTATGTAGCCCTGGCTATTCTGGAGCTCTGTAAGTAGACCATGCCAGCTAAGACCTTACAGAGAGTCTCCTTCCTGAGTGCTGTGATGAGAAGCTCACACCACCACACCTAACACTATACAACTTCTGGAGCCTTGTTTACAGGACACTGCCTATGCACAGAGGTTTCTCCCGTGGACTCTAAGCTCTTATCCTTCCTAGAGGAAATGATAAAACCACTAGATTCAACCATAATCTCTTCTGGTGGTGCGTGACATTGACAGGCTATCAGCACCATCCACTATGGTAGCCAATATCTCCATCTCCACATATCCACTTACATTCTGATGATTAGAAACACGTTAAAAAATACGCCATTTCACAAAAGCCACACTTTGAGTGCCCAGCAGATATGTGTGAGAGCTAATAACTACAAAAAAAAAAAAAAAAAAAAAAAAAAAAGGAGACCACAGGTGCAAACATATTCTCAACCCTCACTGAAATGAGAACTGTTGAAGAGAACTGGCTGAGGCAGCAAGAAAAGCTGAGAATCTTCTAGATCAGAAGAGCAGTCAACAATGACTTTGTGCTGAACATTTTGCCCATATTTAACTCAATCAAACCTCACAAAACCTTATATATCATTGCTTCGAATGAACCCACTTTACAGATTAGAAAACAAACACCTGGCCTTTGGAGCCATGCCATCCAGCTCATAAATCACTGTGGATTGAGCCACCCATCTGGCACCAGCTCCTGACCTCTTACCTAAATATCATGATGTGGCCATGTGGGGAAGCTAAAGAAAATTAAGCGATTTTAAAGTGGCAGGAAGAAGCTCCATGGAAATAAAAAGAGGCTAATTTTGTCAGCGACTCTCCCAAGAGTGACCTTTCCAAGTCTATGAAATTCATCCAAGGCACACGTAACGGGTAGAGGTTTCAATGGAGCTGGGCAGGCAGAATCACCAGGCATTAGAGTTAGAATGTTTCCGAGAAAATAAAAAGTAAAAAAGACATGCAAAGGTTACCTGGCCTGCTTGCCCCAACAGTTATGAGCACAGTTTAAATTAGACTTGGAATTCATATATTTTCCTCCTATCTATTTACTTAGCTCTGTGTGTGTGCGTGTTTACGTGTGGCTCATGGATCTTTTGGCACTTTAATTTGAACTTTTTACATGATAAAGTATTAATTTTAAAGTGCACTAGTCTAATAAAGGGATTTTTTTTTTCACAGTGCTGTCTTGTTGAGCTTAGCTGCTGTGTTCACACATTTGCCTTCCTTTTGTCTAGATTGGCCTTATTTTACCGCTCGTTAGAGTCTACCTTCATCTTTAAATCAGAAATCCCCAGCCTAACTACTCCCAAAAAATCATTCTGAGTCGGAGCATATTTAGCCCTGTTCGGAATTCGCTAAGTTATAGGCTCTGACATTATGTTGAGAACCTGCAAATTTGGTTCTGTTTTCTGAGAGTGTCTCTTGGTATTGCCTCAGCACTCTTGATAGGCTCAATCTCAGCAGCCACCCAGATGAACAGGCAGAGGAATCAGTACCGAGGGAGTTTCCATTGATTTTTAGTTTTTGTTCCACCGCAAATAGGTCACGGGCTCGCAAAGCATGAAACAGCCTAACTGGCGCTGACAACCCAAAGATAGGAGGGCCGTGGCACCGCGAAAGCTTCTCGCCTTCCTTCCCATCTAGGAGAACAAGTTCCAGCCCGCCTCCGGCTCAATCAAGCGCAACTCCCAAATCCTAGCGCGAGTGCATTCCTGGGGCGTCTGGCGGAGGCTTGGCCGGCTCGGGGACACTGCCAGGCGGTGGGCTGAGCTCCGCTGGACGCGGCCAAGTGGCCCGAGGCGCGCCCGAAGCTCTGGCGGAGCAGGAGTCTGGCGCCCGGCGGGATGCTGCGCTACCCCTGGCCGCGGTTGCTTCTGCCCCCAGGTATCCCTTGTCAGCGCTGGAGCGAGTGAGCGAACGAACCCTGCGGACTCCACCTTCCGCGCGAGGCGTGGATCTCGCTCCATCCCCGCTTACATAAGGCGGGCGGGCGGGCGAGCGCGCTCCCGCCGTCGCTTTCCCCTCGCGCGGAGTGGGGCCGCGCCCTCCACGCCTCCTCTGCCAGCGCCTCCCAGGACCCCCGCTCGCCCCACTCCGGGAGGCGACTGTCGCTGGACCGTCGGCGGGCGAGCGGAAGCTGGGGCGTCTCTCTCTGGCGCACGGGAGCGCCTCGCCCACTCGCCTCTCCTCCCGCTCCTGCTACCACCCCTCCCCGCCGCCCGTGCGATCCCCCGCGGGCGCGGGGACCCGAGAGCAGCGCCCGCTCGGCTGGCGGTGGAGCTGCGGGAGAGCCGCGGTGGTGGCCGCGCTGCGCCTCCCTGCACCTCCCTATTGGGGGCAGAGCACTCGCAGGCGGGAGACGTCAGTGGCTAGGCGCAGTGGACGAGGGACCTTCAAACTCCTCCTCGGAGGCTCCTCTCCACCCCCTTTGGCCCCTGCCCTTGGAGAAAGTGGAGTGTGGTGCTCTGGGCTGCTGTTATTTCTCAGGACTGCCTGGCGGTGGCCGGATTCAGCCTTCTGCCCGGCGGGGCTTTCTGCTGTTTGTGCGTCTCCTGGTGGCGTTTCCCTTCCCCGCACACCTCTGCCGACGATGAGGAAAGGTCTGAGGGCGACAGCGGCCCGCTGCGGACTGGGACTAGGATACGTGCTGCAGATGCTCGTGTTACCTGCCCTGGCCCTGCTCAGCGCCAGCGGCACCGGCTCAGCCGCTCAAGGTAAGGGGGTCCGCAGGGCGCGGCGGTCACCTCCCTTCGCTTCTGCCTTCCCTCTTTTCATACCTCTCCTTGTCCCTGGGGCGCCTAGCTTCCTCGTCTGCCTGGTTGCCCTCACTGGAAACCACTTTAAATCCCACTTTCCAAACTAGTTAAGAAACCAGGTTTTCAGTCTCCATTCCGGAGGTGATGGGCAAAGAGGGACCCGGGCTGTGGAAGTGTAGCCGCTGCCTCTGCGCCCCTGAGATTCTGAGGTGTCTTTTACACTTTCAGCCCCCCCCCCCCCACGCGCACGTTGTTGACTATTGTACACTCGGGGGTTTTCAGTGGTTTTGGGTAGCGTCGGTGTGGTGTGCCATACGCGCGCCCCGGTATGTCTAATGTGCAGAAGCTCCCCGCGGTGTGCGTTGCCTAGGCGTGCAGGATCTTCTTGCATCTCAGCTAAGAAAATGTGTCCATTACCGCCGAGGACCCATAGGCGCCAGTGCCCCTAGACTGCTGGTGGGGCGCTATGGGGATGTTCAATTCGCCCAGAAAGGACAGGCTGCTGGCGCGCCTGCCTCTCCACTAACAGCCCCTCCGTGTCACCCTCCCGCCAGAAGACCCTTGAAAAACTTTAAACCCACAGCTCTGGTGGGAGACTCTAGCTGTGCGAATCAAATGTGCAAACCCCCCCCCCGGGGGGGGGGAGCGGCGCCGCTAACCAATTTATAACTGACATTTTAAGGCATAGAAACCTTGAAGTAAGTGTGTGGAGCTCTGAGCAAGGCCAGGCTAGGACAGTGGTCCAGAGTTGGGGATGCATAGGGCAGAGGGGAAGCACCCAGACTGAGGGACATCTTGTGGGATCTCTTCTTCCTCATTGAGTTTGGGGTGTGGGGGAGGTGGGGGAGTAGTTGCAACTCGCAGCCTTAGGTCTGCAAAGTGGATAAAAGAGAAAGGCAGAGAAAAAGAACACAAGCTGCCCTTTCTGGAGTCTCTCAGGTCATCTAGGCACATAACCTTTTATCCAAGCCCAGTTCCCACCCGGATCCTTCTCACCCATGTTTTAAAATGCATTTGTTTATTTATTTTATGTGTATCGCCAGGAGGCAATACTGCTTTGCCTGGAAAGAGAGGCAGCAATTTCCCTTCCCTATGCGCTCTCTCTCTCTCTCTCTCTCTCTCTCTCTCTCTCTCTCTCTCACACACACACACACACACACACACACACACACACACACACACACACACACACGTCTGGTTTGTTCCGCTCCTTTATGAATTTGGAGAGCTTGAGAGAACAAGCAGTAACCTTAATGACTCCTCCAACGGTGCTCACAGACTGACTGGGTTATCTCTAATGCAGACTACATCTCTTAAAATCTTAAGGCACCGGTGCAGGGAGGGGGTGACGAAAGTGGAAGGCAGCCCAGAGGCAGGCCAGTCTGGTGCTTGTGAAGAGGTACATGACTAGCAAGACAGTGCTTATCAGAGATAGCTACTTAAGGAGTAAATTTTTCCTGCTACACTGAGTGGCCACGCTCATGAATCTCCCCTTCCTTTCTAGACAGATGCCTCTCATCCTTGTGAGTCAGCTCTGGTTTTCTTATGTACACCCCAGGAGCACATATGATCATGTTCAAGAGAATCTGTTTTAGAAAGCCTACATTTCTTGAAATTGGTCAGAAGTTCTCAGGACGCTAGCCAGGAATGCTTAGAGGAGGATCTTGGGAAGCCCCAGTGAGCAACCTGATGAACAGTTCTGGAATCGGCTGTGTTGACTCCTGCTGTCATTCCTTGGTGTTATTGGGTGCACAAAAGGACTAAGCCACTGGGGGTGAGGGGCAGGTAAGGGAATGGTTTGGGAAAAGGGCATGTTAAAGTCCCCCAAGATGCCGAAAGGAGGCAGGATCCCTGTGGAGAGCTTACAACAACCAAATTAAAAAGACTGGGTAGGAGAAGGATCAATAGAGATAATCAAACAGGGGACTATAAGTGGATTAATATTGAAAGAAGGAAGCATAGACTGAAAGGGAAGGAACTGGAGCACTCTGTGCCTCTTGCACTTTTTCTCCATCTACAGCAGACAAGTCAAAGGTTGAGGATTAATGATGATCTTAGAAAGGCAGGTTCAGCAGGGTGTATGTGGGGTTTGGTGTGGTCTTTCTCCATTTACTTTCGTTCAGGGAGAATAACATTTTTTTTTTCCTTCAAATCGTGTGGTCTGAGATGCAGGACTCCTACTTCTATCTTTGTTATCCTCCACGTTCCAGAACACCAGCTCTTTCTGTGTTATCTGTGAGACATCAAAGGAAGTGTAAAGCACAGAAATCTGCTATCAGCTACTGTCCCTGTGGCTGCTACTCATTAGCCAGGCCTGTTTACTACTGACCTGCTGTTAACACTTTATTCTGAAGTCATTTACTGTAGGATGGTCTGGTGGGCAGGCTCCCATTTTCTTCAGTGTGTCTCCTTTCTCTTCACTTCACACTAGAGCTCCCACACATACCCTAAAGGTAGCATTTGCCAATTCTGATGCCCTAATGACCCCAGTGGACTATTTTTATGAATGGAAGTGCATATGCAATTAGAACAGAGACATTCATTAAGTACTTTACCATGTGAGGAAGGTTTATAATCTGTTGGAGCAGTACTGTGAAAATGAGATGCTTTTGAAAATATATATTTAGTTGAAAACAGTCTAGGGAGGAAAAAGAACAAAACAAAAACAAAAACAAACGACGAAAAAAAAAAACACAGTGCTTAAGATAGAAGAACAGAGGGGGTATTATTTGTGAGTGAAAGAATTTTGCAACTGTGGTTTAAAGACAGACAGCAGTCATCTTAAAAGGGTCCTAGGGAAAATCCTGTAGGGAACAACTTTCCCCTCTCTGCCTGTGCTCTCATTGTTTCATTGATGATTGCTGGGAAACCTCCACCCTAGGGGATTTTCAGGGCTCCTGACTTCCAAGAATGAAATATTTTTACTAGGAAAGGCAAGGTGTGTGTGCGTGTGTGTGTGTGTGTGTGTGTGTGTGTGTGTG